AGAGGCTCTTGCAGGTGGCTGGCCTCTGGATGTACCTGGACACCCCGCCTGCCCCCAACACAGCTGACTGAACCGAGGGCGGCCAAGCACTCCTGATGCAGGAACATGAGCGAGCCAGACTCCCTCGCTCACTCACTCATTCATTCGTTCATTCATTCATGCCCGAGCGGAGGCTGTGAGCGGGCCAAGTCAAACACAAAGGGAGACAAAGGAAGAAGAGAGAAGGGACGAGGTGCCGCCTGCAGAGCCACCTCCATCCCCACGCTCTCTCCTCCTGAGGGCCTGGTAGAGAGGAGCCCCTCTGCTCCCACCAGCGTCAGCCGGCCCCGAACAGCTTGAGGACTCTACTGGAGCCGGGCCTGCTGCCGGAGCCCGGGCTCTTTAATTAACTCTGTTCTTATTTCCCTCCACCCCGAGGCTTCTGAGCTCAGCGAGGATGCAAAACTACTCATCCCCAGATTAAAAAGAAAGGCTCTTCTTTCCCGGCACTGTCCTCCAGCTATTTGCATTATGACAAATGCTCAGCCTCTAACAACAAGGATGGTGGGGACGGTCCCCGTGAACTGGGAGCTCATTATCACGGGCACTCTCTGAGCATCCGCTCGCTTCCCCTGCGCGGCGATCACGGGCAGGGTGCTGAGGGGGTGCTCGTTTTATAGGTGGGGAAACTGAGGCTCGGGAAAGGCTGCCTTGCCTAGGATCTCAGCTGTGGGAGCCAGTGGAGTTGAAATTTTGAAGCTGGTTTTTGGTTCTAGAACTCACACCAGGCTGGACTATTGCCAGGTCCTCATTCATTTCATTCGGTCAATCTATGGACAAATGCTTACTGAGTGCCTCTCAAATGACAGGCACCTGCTAGGCACAGGGGATACACCTGTGGTCGGGACACCCATGGCGGCCACCTCATGGAGCTCCCAGAAATCCAACTTGTGTTTGGAAGCCAGGAAAAGAACAGGAAGAGTAGAGATGTGGAAAAACGGGGAGAGAGAGAGAGAGCACACGAGAGGATGGAAGGTCTTGACTGCATCGTTTGATGCCTAGATCCAGCTGTGCCTGAAGCCGCTTCCAAAACTGGGCTTCCTAGCTAATTCCACAAGCCAGTAAACTCTCTTCTATCCCTAGGCCATCTGAGCTGGGTTTCTGACACTTGTAATGGAAAAACCCTCACTAACACCTGAGTCACGGCAGCCCTAAGTGGCAGACGCCCCAGGAAAGTGAGTCCCATGTCCAAGGCCCCCTGCTAGTAAGTTAAAGAGTATGCATGGGCGTGCGTCTTCACAATAGGAATTTGGGCATCTAACTTCAATACCTTCTCGTAACAACAACAAAAAAAATGAAACAAAATGGTTATTTCCCAGAGATATTCTGCAAGGACCAGAGAGAAGGCAAAGCCCTCACAGCCTGTCCCCAGTCCAGCGAGGGGTCTTCGCACAGGAGTCAGGGTAGCAGGAATGGGGAGACCTAGGATGGCACCCAGCTCAGTGACCTTGCTGATCCCTGGACCCTCCCGGCCTCCAGTCCAGCTCTGTAAGATGGGGACGACCCACTCACTCCTGGAGTTACTGAGAGAACTCATACGACCTTCACAGCTCAAAACCCTGATGAAAATGTACCCCACCCCATCCCCACAGCCTGTGTCCTGTGCCTGGTCCCCATCTCAGCTTTCTCTCTCCCATGAGCCATTAGCTCCCTGCAAAATGCAGCTCCTGGTGCCAAAAACTCCCAGGGCATCAGACGCAGAGGCCATCCTCCCGCTGTACCCCAACTTCTTGGGAAAGGGGAGCTCTGAAGGTCGGGGGAGCTTAGGACCAAAGACTCTTCCCCTCAAGCCAGATTCCAGCTCCATGTCTGAGCCATGTGACTGGGCACCAGTCATGGTGTTTTAGAAGGGGAGAGTCCTCCAGTCCCCTCCTCTCACTCTGTAAGTGGGGAAACTGAGGCCCGGAGGAGGGGCAGTGACTGGTTGGCTCAGTGTCACGCAACTGCTCAGTGCTTTTCCACAAAGCACTGGTCCCAAGGTGACCCTGCCACACCGCCCTCCTGCATCCCTGTGCCTGCCCTTCCTTCCCACCCCTGGACCTTTGCTTGGGCTGGTTCTCCAAGTCCAGGGGTTGTGTCACCTCCCCCAGGAGGCCCTCCTTGATCTGCTGCTCTTCCCGGGCCACACTCCCAGCCTCACTCTGCCTCCTTTTTCTTTCTTCTTCCTGTTCGCTGTGCTAGGCTCAGGGGACCAGCCTGTACCGGTGGAGGGGAAGGATGCTTAGGAAATCATCCCACAAATGAATGTATAACCATAGGCTGAAATATGTGCCATGAAGGGGGAGCCTATGAGTGTCTTGAGCTGGGGCGGGGGTCGAGGGACGGGGAGCGACCTGGTCTGGGGAGGGATCAGGGAAGGCTTCCCCGAGGAAGCGACACCTGAGTAAGACCTTAAGAATGAATCAATGTTGACAGAGCAAAGAGTTGAGGAGGCAGAGGGAACAGCATGTGCAAAGGTCTGAGGTGAGAGGTATGGGCTGGTCAAGAAAACTAGAAGCAGCTCTTGCACCTGGAGCCTGCAGGACAGGGATGCTGGAGGGGGCTTGCGAACCAAACAGAGCCTGGGTTTGCCCTCTCCTGCCTTGCCTCCCACCCCGTCCCCGGGATCCAGGCTGACGCCCACTGTCTCCTGGAGACCTCTGGGCGCATGGAAGGGCGAGAGGCCACAGGAACCTGTCTGAGAGAGAGGATCGGTGCACCAACCTGGCATGGCTGGGAGGGCCGGGAACACAAAGAGGCCACCCCGGGCCTGGCACACAGCAGTCCCATGTGCCTGGAGGGTCTTTAAACAGGAGAACTCAGGTCTCCACCAACAGGGCTCTCTTTACAAGCCAGTGAGAAGAGCCCTGGCCGGTTTGGCTCAGTGGTTAGAGCGCCGGCCTGCGTACTAAAGGGTTCCAGGTTCAATTCTGGCCCAGGGCACGTACCTCGGTTGCAGGCTCGAACCCTGGCCCGTCGGGGCGCGTGCAGAGGCAACCAATCAATGTGTCTCTCTCACATCAATGTTTTTCTCTCTGCCCCTCCCACTCTATCTGAAAAGCAATGGAAAAAATATCCTCAGGTGAGGAAAATATAAGTAAATAAATAAATAGATGCCAGCGAGAAGGGGTGCTATGCCCCACGCCAGCCCCCAAGGCCCTGTAAGGTGGCCCCCAGGCTAACCCTGTCCCTCAGCACCACCCCTGCCTTCCCACTGACCGCCAGGCCGCAGCCCACCTGCTCGCTCAGAACGGAAGGGCTGTGGCTGCAGGGGCTCTCCCAGGCCACGGCAGGGTTTCGGGGCCCCAGGGTGAGGGTGTTGGTTCTCAAGGCCTGAAAGCCAGAGCGCAGGTCCACAGATTCATGACTCGGGCAAAGGCAGCCTTGTTGCCGCCAGGGTCTCCGGGGTAAACTGCATAAATCACGCGGCTCAATCGGAGGCCACGTTTGGGCTGTCACTGTTGTTATTAAATATAAATTGTGGATTTATTAAATAAGGCCCCTCACTCCCTCAGCCCAGCCTAAGACAAAGCCCAGGGTGGAGATAAATCACGTGTCGGGAGTGGCGTCCATCTCCTGCATCTCCCTCTGTGGAGACCTGCCGTGGAAACCCGCACAGCCCCCTCCAGCAGCCCGCACGCTCCCCTGGTGCTCGGGCCTGGGGTCTGAGAGAGGCGGGTGGGAGGCAGCAGCCCCCCGAGTCTTTGTATGGCCCTGGCCTCACCCAGCTTTGTGCAAAGCTGCATTTCAAAGCCTGGCTGGCCCGAGCGGGCAGTGAGGGAGCACTGGACAAAGAGTCCAGAACCAGGCTCAGTGCCTGGTCTTCCTGGGCCTTGCCCCAACCCCAGCCATCTCTGAGCCCCACTGCCAAAGGAAGCCCAGAAGCCAGCCCCGGGAGGTGGCAGCACAGAGCAGGTGTGGAGGGATGGGAGTGGGGCGGGCCCGCGTGAATCCACCCTGACCACTCCAGCCAAGGGACCACCAGGAAGCCAGGAAGCATGTCCCCATAGCACTTCTCGCTGCCAGTATCTCACGGCCATTACACCCTTTTATGACGTGTGCTGTCTGCCACCCATTTGGGGGTTCAGCTCAGCATGGGCAGGGGTTTGGGAGTAAGTGGCAGAGCCAGGATTCAAACCCAGGCAGGCCAGCTCAGAGCTTGCAATTCCAACCAGTGTGCCACGTAGTTGCTTGTAAATGTCCCGAATGAATGAATGAATGAATAAACAACCCGCAGCTGCTCATGGGTTCCGGGGGGAAATCGCCCTCTTTCACTTGGTCACTCGGTCCTTGCTCAGGACACAGCGGGGCCTGCGAGGCACCCTCCCCCCAGCTGTGCATTCCTGCAGCTCTCAGATGCCCCTTTCTCCAGCCCTCGCCAGCTTGCTGCCCCCACTCATCCTCCTCTGGGTCTCAACCTGGAAGCCACCTTCTCCAGAGGGTCCTTCCTCGGCCCCTGGGCCCTCCGCTCCTGGGACTTCCTGTTTCCCCAGGTCTGTTCTGGGACTGGGGCTGCCAGGGGGTCTGCGGGCCCAGGCAAAGGTGCTATGAACGACAGCTCTGCCTGGCACTGCAGGGCACTGTGGCAGTATGTACAGTGCCTGGGGACCCCCTATGCCACAACACACACCGATCCAGGCACCCTATCTGAGGGGCCAGGGCTCTAGCCAGTTCCCACGGGGGCAGGCGTCCCGCCGGGCATCCAGGGACCTCAGGTGCAGTCACTTCCAGCCCTGGAGGCCTAAGCCCTTGGACAAAAGAGGAAGGCCATTCCGGGAAGGCCTCCCTCCCTGCCAGGCCTCAAGGTCCCCAGGAACAGTGTCCCAGGCCTGAGACCCAGGCCTTTCATCTGCCCAAATCCACCAATCTGGCCCTAAAATGGAAATTGGATGCAGTTTCCCAAGTAGAAATCTACCAAAAAAAGTAGGCAGCTACTGACAACACCAGC